GCCCGCGTGCGCCTGGGGCCCCGCGGGTGGTGTCACGACGCCTGCCACGCGCTACTCGCCAGCCTCGAAACCTCCCATGCAGCGCGTGCAGTGAGCCTTCTTGTCACGGGCCGCTTGGGCGCTGACGCACCGACGGGTGATGCGTCCGCCCGTCATGCGGCGCCGCCTCTGTGCTGGCTGGCCCTCGCTGTCACGCATGTGGACGTCGGTGTTGCCGTCCACGGGGATGTCGGCTGCGTTCACGCCAGCCGACGCGGGAGCGGCCGCGGAGGCGCACGGGGCGGCCCCAGCACCTCCGCTGCCTCCCGCAGCTGCTAGCACTCCGCCTTCGCCTCGAGCCGCATCGGCGTTGCTCCCAGCCACTCGAGCCCCCGCACCTGCGTCCGCAGCGCCGCCAGCGGCCGCTGCCATCCCAGGACGCCCCTTCAGGGCAAGGAAGAGTGCTCGTAACAATGAGGGCGCGAGAAAAGGAAGGGTGACTGTCACCCGCGGTTTGAGGGCAGCAGTAGCCCCCCCGCCCACAGGCTCCCCAGAGCCTTGGGGGGACCACTACTACTACTACTACTACTACAACAACAACAACAACTACTACTACTACTACTACTACTGAGAAACATCTGTCCAACCGCCCCGCAGGCAAACAGCCGAGTCGTCCGACTGCACGCCTGACATCTAATAGGCGAGCCGACGCATCCGAGAGCCGGCTGTTCGGTCAATAGACACGAAGGGAGTCTCGATTCTCTTCCACGTTGCCGGCACTGACGTAGACGGCCTCTCCGGCACTCCGAGCGTCAGCTGAACCGCCGGCGCTCTGAGCGTCTGACAATTTCCGCAAAAGTAGAATCCGAGCGCGTGACTCTCCGACTCCGAGCGATTCGCGCCGACCACTGATAGCTCCCACAAGCGCTCGGCGCAGCGAAGGTGGCACCGTCGATTCGCTGTGCCGCCGATGTGGAGTCCCGACGTGAACTTTTTCCGCAGAGCGTCGTGAAGGCCGATCAGCTGAGGCGCTCGGCACTCACCCGCGTGGCGGCCAGACGAGTAATGCCGGCCAACATACGAGCGGTCTGACTTGGCACTGTGGATCGAGCAAGCCGGCGTGACGTCACGCGTCGCGTGGTATATGCCGTAGGAGGCGCGATCCAGTAGTCGGTTCACTGGCAAAACGTCGAGCCGTGTTTTCACCGCATCCTGAAACCCGTCGGACAATAGAAGGAGACCTCTCTGACTAAGTCGCTCCTTAATCCGTGCGAGCGAGGTCGTGTCTAAGGTCTCAGAGTTCACTGCTTTGCACGATCGATCCACGAAGAAGTTTGCGCACTCAACGATCTCCCAGTTCGACGCGTGGCAAATTATGTAGCCGATCTCGAGAATCCCCGCGCAGCCGTCTGAGTAAGTCGCGTAGCCGACGTCCACCAAGCCAACAAATCTGAATTGCTGGGCTGCGGCGCGTCCGAGAAGTGCTTCAGCTTCATCCACGACTAACCGCGGAACATGAGACGCGATCCCTCGCACGAACACGCTCGGCCCAGACTGGCCCGACTGCCCGCTTCTGACCACTCGAACGTGCGTCGCTTCAGACACAGCGCGCATCAAGTTGTTGTAGTAGCCGTCTGGCTTGAGCCTCGACGTCTCAGAAGTGTGCATCCATGCAGCCAGGACGAGGCACGCTGCAGCACTCTGGCCAATCCCTCCTGGAACGCCTGTGATTCCCATCGGCTCGTGCGTCGCGCTGCCTACCAGTCGCTTGTACGCAGTCCAGACTGCCTCCACTGGCGCGCTTCTTGCGTCTGGACTGATAGGAAGCAGACAAGCATACGGGCATCGAACCACATCGTCCGGCTTGACCAACACCACAACGCTCGCGCTGCACGCCGTTGTAGTCACTTCGCAGGGTACCGAGAGAAAGGGCGACGAAAGCTGCACTCCCGAATGCTTGCTTGCGGCGTCCACGTATGAAGTTCGGATGAGCGGCATCATCTCTCGAGCCCACTCTAGAGCATCGTCTGGCATGACCAACTCGAGCGCAGGCGGCGGGAACGTCACCCAGTCAGCTTCGGTGGCGGTCCTCCGATTCTTGCGCACGGAGCGCGCCGCTGCCTCTTGACGCGAGGACCTCTGAGCGGAGCGACTGGAAGACAGCCAGCCGTGCCGAGTGCTCCCGCGCTGGGCTGCCATCTAGTCGAACACTTGGCCAGATTGATGCCGAGTCGCTGAACGAATCGACTGCTACCACTACTACTACTACTACTACTACTACTACTACTACTACTACTACTACTACTACTACTACTACTACTACTACACTGCGCCTGCTACTACTACTACTACTACTACTACTACTACTACTTCTACTACTACTACTACTACAACTACTGCTGCTACTACTACTACAACTACTACGACTACTACTACTACTACTACTACTACTACTCTTACTGCTACTACTACTACTACTACTACTACGACTACTACTACTACTACTATTAGCATTACGACCACCACCGCTACCACCACTACTACTGCTACTGCTAATATTCGTGCTACTAGTACCACTACCACTACCACTAGCACTGCCGCTATACTTCTACTGCAACTCTGAATGCTATTACTACTACTGCTGCTACCTACTGCTATTGCTGCTACTAATACCACTACCACTACAGGTACTACTACTGGTACTACTACGACTACTACTACCACTAATACTACTGCTACGACTACGACTACTACTACTACTGCTACTCATACTACCACTACCACTACTACTACTACTACTACTACTACTACTACTACTACGACTACTACTACTACTACTGCTACTACTACTACTACTACTACTACTACTACTACTACTACTACTACTACTACTACTACTACTACTACTACTACTACGACTACGACTACTACTACTACTACTACTACTACTACTACTACTACTACTACTACTACTACTACTACTACTACTACTACTACTACTACTAGTCCTATTACTTGTGCTACTACTACTACTACTGCTGCTGCTGCTGCTACTACTACTAGTACTACTACTACAACGTCAACTACTGCTGTTACTACTACTACAACTACTACGACGACGACGACGACGACGACGACGACTACTACTACTACTACTACTGCTACTGCTACTACTAGCAATACGACCACCACCGCTACCACCACTACTACTGCTACTGCTAATATTCGTGCTACTAGTACCACTACCACTACAACTACTACTGCGCCACATTCGTCCATGGCAATAACAAGACCGAACACCGATCGAGCCGACATCGAAACCGAAACCAGACGCCTCCTTTCTCCTCGTCCTTCTCCTCTAGAGGTCCCTTTCCGCAAAATCCCAGCAACCTCCGGAGGCTCCCGGGGGTCAAACAACTGAAAACGCACCTGAATCCTCCTTGTCGTCTCTCCCCAGATCCCCGAACGGCGTCTGGGCTTCGACGCTCCCTGATGTTATGTATCTTGTCGACGTACTCAGTTCCTGCCTCTTTTTCCTCTTCATCCTCCCCTCCCCTCCCCTCTGCCTGCCCCTATCCACTCGTTCTCCTCCTCCCTCCCGCTATACAAAAACCACGCTACGCATAGAGACCGCACCCCTTGCGCACACCCTCTGGCGTCGAGAAAATGCTACGCCCGCCGTGCCCTGCGCGCCTGCAACGCATAGAGACCGCACCCCTTGCGCACACCCTCTGGCGTCGAGAAAGTGCTACGCCCGCCGTGCCCTGCGCACCTGCAACGCATAGTGACCGCAACCCCCTTGTGCATCCCTCTGGTGTCAAGACAGGGCCACGCCTGTCGTACCCTGCGAGCCGCAACGCATAGAGACCGCCCCCCTGCGCACCCCCTCTGGTGTCGAGAAAGTGCCACGCCTGCCGCACCCTGAGAGCCGCAACGCATAGAGACCGCACCCTTGCGCACCCCCTCTGGTGTCGAGAAAGTGCCACGCCTGCCGTAACCTGCGCACCTGCAACGCATAGAGACCGCACCCCCTGTGCAACACCTCTAGTGTAGAGAAAATGCAACGCCTGCCGTGAACCGTGAGCCTGACGGATAGAGACCGCGCTCAGGGACCACCCGCCTGATGCGTGCACGGCTGTATGCGGACTTGTGCATCATGTGGGTGCCGTGTATTGTGTCGTGATACGTATGCCTCTGACGCGTGTGTGCGGCGAGTGCGTGCGTGCATGTATGATGCGTGTACGGCTGTATTTGGACTTGTGTTTCATGTGGATGACGTGCAGTACGTCGTGCTGCGTATGCCTCTGATGCGTGTGCGCAGCTACTGTGTGCGTGCAAGTGTTTGTACGTCTTGTGTGCGCGTGTCGAATGGAGTGCGGAGGAGAGGTAAGAAATGCTGAGGAAGGAGGAGGAGGAGAAGGAGGAGGAGAAGGAGGAGAAGGAGGAGAAGGATGAAGAGGAGGACGATGGGAAACGCCGGTGCGACGCGGGTGGGGAGAAAACGAGAAACCGACTGGACATGTGGGGAAACAACGGCATAATCATAACCTGTCGGAGGTTCGTGCGGATTTCTTGGATCGGCGATGGGTATCCCTCCCTTGCGCGCGCAGCGCGCCAGTTGCGGTGCCTGAGGCGCCGCCCTGGGGGGCCCAGCGCCGATCCGACAAATTCGTGTAGAGCTCCGGTAGTTTATACTTATGTAGTTTCTCTCTCCTTCGAGCGGTGGGAGGTGAGGGAGGCGGGCGGGGTGACAGTAGAGGCCTCCCCGGTGGGCTTTCAGTGACAGCAGAGGCCTTCCAAATGGGGCGGAAGTGGTGGCCCTAAACACGTGATGTCTTGTTTTTTTCCATTCGGGGTCCTCAGAAATTCAGACCCTTTCTACAGGGCCCGTCTTTCATTCCGAACAGTTTTTCGACGGCCCCAGGGCGCGGCGAGGGCCCCCCGAGGCCGACACCAGCAACAGAGAAGCTTCCGTCGTGATCTTATCATCGCGCGAGCATGTTTGTGCAGTGTTTCCCCCTTCAATTCCCGAGGCTGGCTGGGGCTTCCTCTGCAGGCTGTCTTCGGAGGTCCCCAAGCCGTTTGGTGGCAGACTGTGCGGTGACCTCGGCATCCCAAAAGACATCACCGCGCAGTCCGTCACCGCACGGTTCTGGGACGCCTGGAAGCCCCGATCGCAACAGGCGTCCTCGGACAACGGCCCGAGTTCCAAAACCGTGCGGTGACACCGAATCCCCATGGACCCACCACGCGGTGGTCACCACACCGTTTGGGGCTCCTCGACGCCTGGTGGTTCTCGGGTCATGCTTCGGGCCTCCGGCGGCTGCTCGGGACGATACGGGCACCCCGGGAACGTTCTCGGCGAGGCGCAGCTGCTGGAACGCATCCCCAAGCAGGAACACCTCCAGGAACCGCCGAAACCGTCCGATGTCTGCGCCTGGGCACCCCCGGAACGCTCTCGGCGAGACGCAGATGCTGGAACGCATCCCGAGGCAGGAAAACCCGCAGGAACCGACGAAACTGTCCGATGTCTGCGCGCGAGCCGAAGCCCTGCCGGGCTCGTGGTCGAAAGTCCGCCTCTCGAGGTCCTCGAGGTCTCGCTGCTGGCGGACGCACACCGCGGTCACGACGATGCTGGCCACGTAGGTGGCGTGCAGCGCCTCGGAGAGGGGCACCTGGAGCGCGAAGACGATCCTCGAAAGGGGAAGTGGCACCGATGCCGCTGTTCTTTCGGCTACACGCAAGGGTCACCCCAGGCAAGAGTGGCCTTGATGCGCGACTTTCGGGGGCCGCGGGGAGGCCGAACCCGAGCGCATACGCCGCTGCTATCGCATCCCATACAGCCATCTGGGGGCCCTGGTGTGGGCCCGCCCGCACCAAAAATCATCCTGGTGGCGAAAGGTCACTCTTACGCGTAACCGACCCCTATGCCTTACTTTCGCCTTTCAGGGACCTCCCGGGACCCTGAGATTAGGTACTGGAATTTTTCACGTGTGACTTTTTCGTACAGATCGACCCGGCTCGAGAAATATCGAAGAACGATTGGGTCTAGGACTCTTGTCGTGAATTTTCACGATGTTTTATTTTTGTGTCGTGACGTTGGATCTCTGAGGAGGCCCTCGTCGCCACGGCCGGATTCGCCTCGAACTTCTGGTCAGAGGGCGCCCCGGAAGAGGTCCGGGGAGTGGCAGTACTGTCATGTATTTGGCCGCCCAGATCCAGATGATGAAGATGGTGCTGTTGGCGATGCTCGATAAACAGAAAAAGGCATAAGCAGAAACTTTCGGAACCCCGCGCGGGTTTCTTCGATCGGCGGTGGCCCCCCTCCCCGGCCGCGCGGAGCCAGGGGCCGCGCCAGAGGAGCCGCCCAAGGGGTCCAGCGCAGATCCGAGAAATCCGCGCGGACCTCTTACAGTTTACGTTTGTGCAGTTCTTTGTCTCTCGAGATGCAGAAGAGCAGCATGTCCACGGTCCGCAGCTGCTGCATCAAGACCATAGAGAGGTTGGTAATCCCGAGTCCTACCGCCGAGCTGACCGTCTGGATCCGGACGGCCCTGTTGGTCCGCATGCCCTCCGCAGTGACGTCGGCCAGCAGCGGCTGGCACACCGCGCAGCGGCCCAGCAAGAACGCACACAACATCGCGTGGTACGAGATGCGCCGCATCTGTGGCCCGTCTGGCGAGGCGAAGAGCATGGCTTTTCTCATAATGAGACCGCCAGCGCACGCAGCGTGGAAGAGGATGACCAGCGTCCTCCGGCACGGCGCGCTCAGGCTCACATCCCACAGCAGCATCATCAGCAGCATGCTCCATTCCGTCCAGACCCACCAGCGGCGCGTGTTGTGGCGCTGGAACAGGGCCTCCACGGACCTGTCGTTGAAGAGGCTGCCCCTCGGGAAAGTCAAGAACAGCATGGCCTCCACGTCGCCCTTGACCTGGCCCAGGGCCCTCCGTATGTGCCCACAGATGGCCCGCGCTGGGAAGCTGCGCGCCCCAGCGCCGCCGGCCGAGGCCGCCGCGCCCGCGCCCTCGGCGCCCTGGGCGGCCGCGCGGCAGGCCGCGGCGACCGCCGTGAGGCCGCCGCCGCTGCCGGAGCTGCCCTCGGCCGCGCCGCCCGGGACGCTCCGCTGAGACCGTCCGATCTGAATCCCACCAGCCCTTTAGGGCGTAGGTGGTCTAGCGTGTCTTGTCTTCCATCTGCCCCTCTTCCCTTTCGGGGAAGGGTTTATCAGTGTTCCCTAGTAGTATACACCCCTCCTCCACCCGGCCAGCGGCCAACCCGGAACCATGACAACCCCACGAGGGCCAACCCCTCCACCATCCCTGTCAACAAAAACAATACAAAACGCACTCTGCCTCCACATTTGGAGCATGGGCGGCCGCCCCGCGACCATTTGGTATGGGTATTTTACAGGGACGGCTGGGGTGCCAGCAAATCCCACCTGCCTTCTGGGCGCATGTGGTCGACCGACTGGTTTGACACATCAATGGCTGTTGCCTTTTCGCCCTACCGTTTCCGATGAGATTTTGAAACCTCCACATGGCTCCAAAATTGCCGAAGAAAGGCTCAAAGCCGGGCCCAAGAGCCCCCATTGGATCCCAGTGGCTGGCGCACCTGGCGCGGCTGGAGCACGTGGAACACTGGGTGCACGTGGAGCACGTGCCGCACCTGGCGCGCCTGGCACGCTTGGGCCTGCAGGGTCTGGTGCATCTGGAACCCGTGGCGTCTGCGGTGTTCTTACGCGATATGCTGACTCTCGGGTGTTACATATGTGTTGGGAGGGCGGGTGGGAGTGAGCAAGACGGCTTGCGAGCGGGTGGGAAGCTTGACCCCTCCCCCTACTGACTGGACTTGGACAGGGGGTCCCGCGAGGGGTTGAAGTGTCCAAGATGGCCCAAGATGGCTCCAAGAGCACCTCGGAAAGCCCAAGATGAGCTCCAAGATGGCTCAAAGTATTCCAAGATGCCTCAAGATGGCTCCCGAGATGCTCCAAGAGGCCCCAAGACCGCTCCAATACGGCTCCAAGTGGCCAAAGAACTCCCCAAGGAGGCCCCGAAGAGGCCGAACTCCTTCTAAAATCTATGGAAAATCATTGTTTTTTTGGCCTTCTCGCCTTTTCGCTTCTGATGGCCCTCCGATGCCTCAAGATGGCTCCAAGAAGGCCCAAGAGGGCCCCAAGAGAGGCCCAAGAGAACCCCAAGACAGCCCAAAGAGCGCCCAAGAGCGCTGGGCCCAAGAGGCGATTTCAGGCACTCTAGAATGGCGAGGGTAATTAAGGAACTCACCTTTTTTGTTCGATGTCCTCCAAGATGACCCGAAGAGTGCTCCCGAGACACCCAAGAGCGCCCCAAGAGGGCCCCGAGAGGCGCCTAGACGGCCCCAAGAGGCGCCCAAGATGCTTCCAACAGGCTCCCAAGAGGCCCCCAAGAGGCTTCAAGATGATCCCCGAGGCACCCAAGATGCCTCCAGACGTTCCAAGAGGCCTCCAAAAAACTCACAAGAGACATCCTAGGAGGCTCTTATGTTCGTCCCTTTTTCCGTCTCCTTCTCCTCCTTTTCCTCCTCCCTTCTCCTCCTCCTTATCCGCCTACTCCTCCCTCCTTCCTCCTCCCTCCCTCCTCTTCGACCCTTCGACCCTCCCTCCCTTCTTCCTCCCTCCCTCCTTCCCTCCCCTTCGACCCTCCTGCTTTCGACCCGCGGTCGAATAAACACTGCCCCCCGAGTCATTCCCCCAGCTGTTATCCCACCCCGTGGGATAACGAACTCGTAGGGCATATCCAGTTTCGGTGTCGAAACTGTGTATGCCGTTTTCGGACCCCTTTTCAGGAATCCTGCCTTAGGACCGTCCTCAGGAGCGACCTCTTCGAGAACCGCGCGCGCCCCCTCCCTCTCGCCCCCCCCCCCCCCGGGTGAGGACCGTCTTTAGGCCTCGCCCGTGAGGACCGCCAATTGGCCTCACACCCCGCGCAGCTTCCATCACAGGGGCTGCGTGGGTTCCCCCCCCACACCTATACATGATGGCGTGAGTTGCCACTGGAGGGGGCCGAGGACCTCCCTGCAGCCCCTCGGCCAACGAAGACGGCTGCAGGGAGGGGTCCAAACGTACCTCCACCTTCATGCACCAGTCAACCAATACACCAGAAAACCAACTCCTCATATTCCTTCATGGGGCCGTGAACGGGATTTATCCCCTGCCGGCTGACGGTGCCTGGCAATGTCAGTAATCTGATACTCTGTGGCGTCAGTTGCCAACCCAGTACACCAGTACACCAAGGGTGACGGTTCGACCCGTGCCGCCGCGGTGTCATATGTGCCGCCGCGGCGTCACTCATGAGGTCGGTCCCGCTCCCCGCCCCTTAAGCGAGCTCTCCAAGGACGGGTATGTAAAACCCTCCCAGCCACCTCCGTCTGCCACTTGGGGCGCAGGTGTGTGGCTGGGCCTACTCCCCTCCTCCTCCTTCTCCTCCCCCCCCCGCCTTTCTCTAAGGATGGGTATAACCGCCGTCCAATCTACACGTCCGGAGCAGCGGCCCTCGCCGAGAGCTGTCCAGGGGCCGCCTTGGATCGTACCCCCCTGTCGCTTTGCTTCGGCTTCAGGTCCCCTGGTCAGACCCTCCTGCTTTCGACCCGCGGTCGAACAAACACTCCCCCCCGAGTCATTCCCCCAGCTGTTATCCCACCCCATGGGATAACGAACTCGTAGGGCATATCCAGTTTCGGTGTCGAAACTGTGTATGCCGTTTTCGGACCCCTTTTCAGGAATCCTGCCTTAGGACCGTCCTCAGGAGCGACCTCTAACCCATGCTCATCAAGAACAGGGACAACCCCAAACCGCAAGGGCATGCTTTCCCTGCCAGGATCATCGGATATGTGCTTGCCCAGCGTGTTCCGGAACAGCGTTTCCGGAGCACGTTAGAACGCCCGTGTTGGTGTCGAAGAGGCAGGCCGTTTATTTGACCTTCCTCGCCGAGTGGGCCCCTGCTCCCCCTCTCTCTCACTTCCCTCTCCTTCGACCCTCCTGCTTTCGACCCGCGGTCGAATAAAGACTGCCCCCCGAATCATTCCCCCAGCTGTTATCCCACCCCGTGGGATAACGAACTCGTAGGGCGTATCCAGTTTCGGTTTCGAAACTGTGTATGCCGTTTTCGGACCCCTTTTCAGGAATCCTGCCTTAGGACCGTCCTCAGGAGCGACCTCTTCGAGAACCGCGCGCGCCCCCTCCCTCTCGCCTCCCCCCCCCCCCGGGCGAGGACCGTCTTTAGGCCTCGCCCGTGAGGACCGCCAGTTGGCCTCGCACCCCGCGCAGCTTCCATCACAGGGGTCGCGTGGGTTCCCCCCCGCACCTATACATGATGGCGTCAATTGCCACTGGAGGGGGCCGAGGACCTCCGTGCAGCCCCTCGGCCAACGAAGACGGCTGCAGGGAGGGGTCCAAACGTACCTCCACGTTTTTTCACCAGTCAACCAATACACCAGAAAACCAACTCCTCATATTCCTCCCCCGTCTCGGACAGCTTCCCCCGCCCTTTGTTCTTCTGCATGCTCCCCCATTTCCCTTGTCACCTCAACTCCCTTGGGCATCGTTTCTGGATGGGCCGGTGGGGATACTTCTCGTCGCGGCCGCAAGCGAAAGCGCAGGCGGCGTCCGAAGTCAGCCTGGGCTACGAACTGGTGGGGATTTGTTATTAGCAGCCGCGGGCGAGAGCGCCGGCGGCGAGTAAGGTCCAAGCGGGCCGCGCGAGAGCCTAATTGCCTAAACAGGTGGGGCTATTTTTTTTGGTAGCGGCCGCAGGCAAGCGCGCCAGCAGCGTCAGAGGTCGGGCGGGCTACGCGCGAGCCTAATTGCCTAGCGCACGGACACCGACGACCGAACCTAAATTGCCTAAGCTGCCTAAGCTGCCTAAGCGGCCAGGCGGCGCGAGGTGGTGCAGCGCTGCCAGGGGTGCACGCATGCAACGAGCTGCAGGGGGGGGCTGACTGCCAGGGTGGCCGGCTGCCAGGGTCTGCAAGCTGCGAAGTGAATTGCATGCAGGGGCGACTGGTGGGGGTCGGCGGCCGCGCGAGAACGGTCTGGCGGCAACAGGCGATGTCCGGGACGGCGGTGCAGAGCTAATTGCACACGAAGCGTGCGGTGCACGTGCACTGAGCAAAATGCTCCACATTCGCAAGCAGTCGCGCCTAGGCGCCGCCCAATACAAAGTGAACAAGCGGCCATGAGTGCGAGTGCTACGGAGGGAGTCGCCCTTGCGGCGCCAAGCTTCGAGCAACTTCCCAGGCAGACAACAAGGCACAAGCCCGGGGGACAGGCTGCTGGCGGTGGACAACAAGGGCCGTCGGCGCTGAAGGCTGAACCACTCAGCGCGCAGCCAACGAACTCCACCGCTGAGTTGTTGGGGCCGGCGGCAACCGACGGACGATAGTGGTGGGGACATTTTTTTTTGATGGACGACTCCAGGGACAGATCCGAGAAGCGGGACGGGCGCGGCTGGGGCACAGGGCGAGATAATTGGCTACGACGGCGCATAGGCCGACGCAGCACGTGCACTTGCAAGAGGCAAAATGCCCCCCCTTAAGATGCGTGCGACCCAGGAGCGGGGACGCAAGCATCAGACTGAAGCAGACGGAGGAAGAGTCGCATTGTGGCGCCAGCTCGAACCGTACTGACCAGCGCGAACTGGCGTGAGCCAAGCTGCGCTGTGGCAGCACGGGGGGCCCGTGAGGCCGCACCGTCAAACACGGCGAGGAGGCGAGAAAGCAAGGAAAGGCGGCGGGGGCGAGAGCACGGTGGTGGGGATACGCGAAGCGTCGACACTTTCACTACTGGGATGGCCGCGGAGTTGCTCAGGGAATTGGGGGGTTACAAGCGGATGCCCAGGTGGTTAAGTCTGGTCCAGCCTGGCTTATAGATGGGTTGCAACTGCTGTAAGTGGCAAAAGAGGGGGTAGCGATCGGGGCTAGGTGGGCTCCGCCCGCTCAGCAGAGTTACCAAGCCCCCCGAAACCACTTGGGGCATGTGTAACCTACTTATCAACCCGGCTGGCCACATGTAGCCGCCTTGGCATCTGCTCAGAACCCCGCATTTCCTTAACAACCACAGCGGTCATACCAGTAGTACCGTTTCGCGAGAAGGTCTTTAAAACAGTTAGTGGGGACAACAGAAGAATCCCACAAAGGGGACGGGGAGCCCCAGATTGCCTGGTCTGACAGCCGTTTCGCCTGAGACTGCCTCACAATCAACTCAGCAGCCGCGATCTCGCCTCAGCGCCAGCTGCATCTTTAGCCCCGACGGCCACGATCCCTTGTGTAGAATACGCCAGGGTGCACATGGCCCGTGCCCTCACCCCCTGCCCCTGCACCCGTCCCAGGAATCCCTCGGAACGGCCAGGGACGCACGATCTCACTGGTCGACCTCATGCTCCATCCGCGGCCCCATGGAGGTCCCGACCCTTTCCCCTGGGGTTGCCTCTCCTGCCGGATCCATTTCTGGTGGCCCTGGGGCCCGACACAGGGCCCTGCGGAGGTCCGACAGCGAGGAACACACTCTTGCGCAGCGCCAGCGGTCGGCACAATGCGCTCGAGAGCCTGCGGGGCGCGCCGCACTGCAGGCACACCAGCACTGCCGGTGAAAAAGGGGAGGGCGGCCGCGAGGGGAGGCCAGAATGAGGGAATCGGATCGTCGGCTCAGCTGCCCCGATACGCAACACGCAACACGTAGCGTGTTGGTACGGAGCTGAAGACATCGACTGAACACGTAGGTGAGGCGCGATGCGTTCGCCAAGACGTGGACCAACAGGTGCCTAGCCAACACCCATCGTGTTAGGACGGACGCTCTGAACATGGTACGTGCTGCGTTGCAGCCCGGGCTTGTCGGGGCAGCTAAGATCGTCGGAGATCTGGGCCTCGGCCGCGACCAGTCCCGGGCCGGTGCTGGCGGGCGCCCTCGCCACCGCAGGCGCCCGCCCTCGGCAAGGGCAGCAGGTGCACGCCTGCGAGCATAGCCTGGTCCAATGATCGGCCTAAGCAGTACTTGTCGTTTCCGTTTTCTCTTTGTCTTCCTTCGTTTCGTCTTCGTTCCGCCTTTGCTGCAAAACGAGGTCGAAACGACAACGGCCTACGAAATCGCCCAAACACAGTTTAGGCCGAGCCCTGACCTGGTCTCCGCGAGCCAGCCGCGCAGCTCTGCGGCGCACAACGCGACCACGCCCGGGCCCTGCAGTAGCTGCGGCACGTCCGCCTCGGTCATCCGCCGCAGCAGGTGCTGCCGGAAGAGGCCCAGGTCGAACTCGGAGACCATTTGCTCCAAGGGGGCGCGCCTGTGGCGTGGCTCCGGGCGCCGGGCCGCCGCTCTTCCTCGCGCCGCCGTCGGAGAGGCTCGGCCTCGCAGCGCTGCTGCTGGCCGCCCGCCTGGGCCCAGCCGAGGGCCCGGAGCGCCTCTGCACTGCCCGCGGGGCCCTCGCGCTGGGCGCGAGGGCGGTGGGCGTCCTGCTGCTCGGGGCGGGCGCTCGGAGGAAGCCCAGAGATCCACTGGGATGACCGCGGAGGGTGATCTGGGGACAGTCGGGGAGTAAAAAGCGAGTGCCAAGGCGGTTACATCTGGCCCAACCTGGCTTCTAAATGGGTTGCACGTGCCCCAAGCGGCTTGTGTGGGGGGATCGAGAACTCCGCCAAGTGGGCGAAACCCACTTAGCCTGCATCGCTAACCCCCCTAAGCCACTTGAGGGATTTGCAACCCACTCACTTATAAGATCGGTTGGGCCAGACATAACTACCTTTGTATCCGCCTATGACGCCCCTATTGCCTTACTTAGCACCCCCCGCGGTCATCCCAGAAGACTCCAATACCACTGCTCGTCTCGGAGAGCCCCCGTCGCCACGGCCGGACTCTCCTCAACGTTCTGACCAGAACGCTCCCTGGGAGATATGTACCCGGGGAGTACGCGGTATCGGTACAATTTTGTTCCCCACATTGCGCCTGGGCCGACTGCCGTTGGCGCGGCACGCCGCGATCCGCCAGGCTGAGGCCGTCGCTTGAGCCAGCAAGGCTCTGGAAGGTGGGGGGGAGGACACGGATGATCACAACGTCGTGAAAAAACGCAACGGCCGATTATTAGCTATTTTCGGCCTCCGGGGGCCCCTCGCTGGGCCAGGGACCTTCAAAAAACAGCTCGGGCTGAAAAACCGGCCCTTGGGAAAAGGGCGGGACTTGCAGGGGCTCCGTTTTGATCAAAGTCGTCGGATGTTCGGGGCCTTAAATGGCCCGGGTCGAACTCGGAGACCATTGTGCCTTCGGCCGGCTGTCGTCGGCACAAGACGCCGCAATCCCATATCTCCGACGGTATGATTTTTTTCAATCTGGGTATACTTCCTCGATTCTGGCCTCCAGGAACTGTTCTCAAGCGCCAGGGACATCAACGAATGGATCTGGGACTCAGAGCTACCTGGGATCCGCCAGGCTTCGGGAGGGGGGATCAAGGGAATGAGGGGCGAGGATGTGGATGCTGGCGATGTGCTGATGCTGCTGATGGCGATGACGACGGCGGTAACGGTAGTGATTGTTGGTGATAGTTGTAATGGTGGTGATGGTGACGAGGATGATGAGGATGATGATGATGATGACGATGATGCTGATGCTGCTGATGCTGTTGTTGATGATGATGCTGTTGATGCTGTTGTTGATCATGATGACGATGACGATGACGACGACGGAGATGCTGATGCTGATGATGACGACGATGATGACGATGACGATGACGATGTCGATGACGATGACGATGCTGATGAGGATGAGGATGAGGATGAGGATGAGGATGAAGATGATGATGATGATGATGATGATGATGATGATGATGATGATGATGATGATGATGATGATGATGATGGTGGTGGTGGTGGTGGTGCTACAGGTGGTGGTTTTGGTGTTGATGACCATGGTAACGATCATGATGATGTTATTGCGAGGAGGGAGAGGAAGAACGCAAGGTGGAAGAGCGGGAAGGAGGGTCTTGTGCAGGAGGAAGAAGAGGAGTAGGAGCCCGCCTTTCAATATTTTCGTGCGACAAGGTATATTGGTCTTTGGGCGGCATCGCGCGGGTGCAACTCGCACGCACGGCGCCTCTATATTGTATTCGCTACAGCAGCTGCCGTTGGAATATCGCCTCCCCCCAATCCATCGCCCCGCCTGCGACCCCTCCTTCTCCTCCCCCTCCTCTTCACCCCTCTTCCTCCTCCTTCTCCTCCTCCTTCTCCTTCTTCTCCTTCTTCCTCTGTCCACCTCCTCCAGTTCACGCCTCCCCTTATCATCCTCTTCTTCCTCCTCCTCTTCTTCTTCTTCTTCTTCCTCTCCCTCCTCCTCTTCATCCTCTTCCCCAAACCTATCGCCCCGCCCCGCCCTTCCTGTATGGCCAAACTTGAGCTTGTGTACACATGACCGCCTGGATGCCCGTTTGCTCCTCTTCCTACTCTTTCTCACGCCTCCTGGCTCCCCTCTCTTTTCTTCCCTCCCTGTCTCCTTCCAGTCTCCTCCCTCTCCCATGGGGGTCGAGAGCCATGCCCCTCCCTCCCTCCCTGCCTCCCGCCATTCCCCTGGCCACCCCTCCACCCCGAATCATTAGACAACCTACAGGCATCTCCCCAAACCTCAGGAAGCACATTCACAACCACCCCAGAACCTGCTCGAGACCTCCGAAATGCCTCCCGAGACCTCCAAGAGCCTCCCGAAGCTTCGAACTGCTCCCGTGAGACCACCAGAGTACTGCCGAGACCTCCGAAAGCCTCTCGAAGCCTCCCGACCCCTCCCAAGACCCCGAATATCCTAGCGTCTCAATATTTTTTCGAGCCGTGCGTTTTTGCTACTTCGGGCCCCAGTATCCTCTCAAATCGATCCGGCTCGGAAAAAAAGTAGAACGATTGGGTTTTGGGCTCTGGGCGAGATTTTTCACCATGCTGCACTTTCTCCGCGTCGTCGGATCTCAGGGACCTCCGAATGCCTCCTGAGTCTGCGAGACCTCCCAGATGCTTCCGAAGATTTCCCCCCAAACACCTGGCGTCTTGATTCTTTCGAGGCACGGGCCCCCGACTTCTCGACCATCTCCCCGGGACCCGTTTCTCACCCCAGAATGTTTTTGACGGTCCCGGGGCCCAGCGAGGGCCCCCGGAGGCCGAAAACAACGAAGAACCTGCGTCTCGATTTTCTCGAGTCGTCGGACGTCTGGGCCGATGCCTCCGAACACGCATCCCTCCTCCTCCTCTCGACCTCTCGGCCTCCACCCTTCGTGCCGTTCTCGAGGCCGCCGCCGCGGCCACAGCGCAGGGCGGCTCCTGCTGCACCCGACGTCTCGAGCCCCCCAGGGGGGGTCCCTTTGAGCCTCCCGAAAGCCTGCGCAAGAGCTGCCGTCCCTCCCGATGACGATGACAATGACGATGCTAATGGCAATCATGATGACGATGACGATGACGATCATCATCATCATCACCACCATCACCACCACCACCATCACCATCACCGTCGTCGTCGTCCTCCTCCTCTCCCTCCTCATCATCACCATCGTCGTCATCATCATCACCATCATCGCCACCAACATCACCATCATCACCATCAGCATCACCATCACCATCATCATCATCATCATCAGCACCATCGCCATCATCATCTTCACCATCATCATCATCATCATCACTGGTATCAACACCATCATCATCACCACCATCATCATCACCATCATCATCATCATCATCATCATCATCGTCATCATCCTCACCACCAGCATCACCATCATCATCAGCATCGTCACATCACCATCATCACCCTCATCTTCATCTTCATCCTCATCATCATCACCGACATCAGCTTCATCATCATCACCATCATCATCCCCATCATCATCATCAATATCATCATGATCATCATGACCATCATCACCATCATCCCCATCAGCATCATCAATATCATCATGATCATCATCATCCACACCATCGTCATCGTCATCGTCATCGTCATTGTCATCGGCATCGTTATCGTCATCGTCATGGTCATGGTCATCGTCCTCACCATCCTCATCATCGTCATCGCCATCGTCATCATCGTCGTCATCGCGCCTTTCCCCCCACCCCCCTTCGGGGATCTGACGACCCGAGTCAATCCAAGCCCGGGCCAGTCAGGCCCTGCAGGATCCTGCAAGGAGAGCCTGCAGGATCAGGGTCCTGCAAGACCCGGCGCTCTAGCTGACCCCCGTTTGCTATCAACCTCCGCCCCTTGAGCCCCGACCCCTCTGCCCCCCTCCCCCGCCCCCGCCCTCCTGGAGCGCCCTCCCTCCTCCCTTCTGCCCCTCGCACGCACAACCTGGGGAAGAGCTCCCATCCCTCCCACGCCCCCCCCCCCCCCTTCCCGCCCCTCCCCTCCGGGCCCCGCGCACCCCCTGGAGCTTCCTCCCTCTCCGCTCCTCCCGTTCCCATCCGCCCCTCCGTCCCTCTCCCGCTCTCGCCTCCCGCTCGCCCCTCCCCTCCCCTTCCTCTCTGCGGCCTCCTCTGACGGGGCCGAAAGACACGCAAATAAATATACACAGATCCCGGGATTTCGCATATTTTCCACATATATGCACGCCGCACCTATTCTGTCTGTCTGTCTGTCTGTCTGTCTCTCTCTCTCTCTCTCTAGATTCTCTGACTGTCGCCCTACTAATCCAGGGGACCCCAGAGGCTTGCAGGGTGCTTTTCGGAAGCAGTTTTGACTCCTTTTCGGGGGCTGTTTTGGCGTCTGTTAGGGTCTTTTGGGGGCCTCTTGGGGGGCTGGGGCCTGTTGAAGACCTCTGTTGGGGTCCTTGGTGCCTCCCGGGGGCCGCTTTGGGGGCCCTTTGGCTGTCCTGGGCGCCTCCTGGGCTGTCTTGGGGCCCTCTTGGGCCGCCGTGGGGGCCTCTTGAGTGCCTCTTGGGCCGTCTTGGGGCGATCTGGGGGGCGTCTTGGGCCGTCTTGGAGCGTCGGGAAGGCGAGACGATGCTGATGCTGAAACTGTACGTTTCACGAAACAAATTTTGGCGATTCAAACCTTTTGCGGCTCCCTTGGGACGCCTCTTGGGGTGTCTTGGGGCCCAAAACGGCCTGTTGGACTGTCATGGGGCCATCGTGGGCGGCTTGTAACCCTCTTGTCCCAGCTTGTGGCCTTCTGGAAGCCATCAGAAGCCGTCTTGGGCCCTCCAGGCGCCCTCGAAACCCAGCGGCCCCCAGCCATGTATATAGGTACTCATTGTATTCGTGTGTGTATATATATATATATATATATTTCGGAGGGGAGTCACAGTCACCCATAACACACACGCAATGGTGCGGACTATACAACGACGTGCGAGCTGCACCAAATTCGTACACTCACCGAGGGTGCCCCAACAGACTGCCGTTACTCTGAACAGCAGGTTCGGTGGAGAGAGGTCTCGTATGGCCCCGTCTCCACGCAGCACGCATTGAAACGCGATCGAATTTATCAAGCTTCTCCAACGCAGAAGCGGACAGTGGAATGCAGTGCTTGCCCATGTCCGGCACTTTGGCCGGCGGAGGTCGCTCAGGTGAGCGATGCATCGCTGGCGAATGGAATACTTCGTCCCGCACGCAGGGCAAATGACACTGCCATAGATGTATCTCTTGATGATCGCTCGCTCTTTGTGCTTCGCCCGGCAATGGCTTGCCAGGGCATGGGCACTGGGAGAACACATCTGACACTGAAGGCACGTGAATGCCAAGGTCCGGCCTGCGGCTCCTTCTGCCTGCGGGGGCGGGGCCCGACGATCCGAGATAAATGTCTCAAAATGGATTCGGTGCACGAGACTCGCCCAGGCGGCGGCGTCTGCGGCACAAGTGTGCCATCTCTGCGCGTCTTCGCAGAGGGGCCCAAAACCGTCGATGTATCCTAGGGTACGGATGCGATCGACGCCCGACGCAAGAAGAGCAAACCACGGAATAGGTATCTCTTCCGCGCCAGCGTGGGGTGCAACTACATGGCTGGCGGGAGAGTTCCGGACTAGTCTGCCAAAGTACCGCAGCCGGGCGCGCATGAGC